AAAAAAAAAAAAAAGAATCATGCAGAGGCCTGGGAGGCAGGGGAAACTCTAAGTACATAACCCCCCAGGAGAAGGCTTTGGATCACTTGTGCAAGTGCTACACTGAAGTTGGGGCGAAGGTTGTTCCAGCTAATTTACCTGTATTTTGAGAATAGAAAGAAACCCAGCTTACATCTGGGTTACAGACACTTCCCAGCAGCCTGTGATGAGAGACAGCAAAGGTAGGGGGACTCTTACTAAACTGGCTTAACAAGATTTTAACTAAAGGGTGAGGACTTTGATCAGTTATCATGGGTGGGGGAATTCTGGATCAACCACCTTAGCAGGATTCTTGCTAAAGGCAGGCCAAGGATGGGTCTGAGATGAAGCCTAGTCAAGAAGAGGACCTTCCCGGGAGCCTAAATGAAATCTGGACAAGGGAGGCCCCTGTGTCAACGCCCATCACATCAGCTGCCAGCGTCAGGGAAGCAGGCTCTGGCCCCAGATCAGATAACTCCTGTATTTCATCTTTAAATACCAACTGCCACCCACTCTCTTTTTGTGACATCCAGATTAACTGTCCTGATTGGATCTAAGCCTCAAACACTATTTGTTTCCATCCTGGGAAGTTTGGATGTTTAAGGAGCACAGACCTTGAAAATCACAATCCCCTTCTGTCTCCTTGGATGAGAGTGGAGAAGGAAATACTTTATCATTTCCCGACGAAGTTCCAGACTTCCCAAACCAAACAAAACGTCTTTTCACCAGTGGCTTTCCCTTTCTAGTCACTCATCCAGCTCCTTTGCTCGTAATTGTAGTTGTGCTGTTTCCTTGTGTCTGTCTTGAATTGTATTATCATGAAAACATCTCGATTATCTAGACCAGTGTTTTCAACCTTTGTTATCTTATGGCACATTGAAACTATGGTTAAACTTCTGTGGCACAATTAAATTATGTTGATCCAAAAAAAAAAAAGAGTGAAAAAATGAATATACTGATTATGTTTTGAACTTTTTAAAAAATCCAATATTATATTTATTTTATAAAATATATTTTTGTTTTTGCTAGAAGGTACATACTGAGTTCAAAATGATGCTTCTGCAATGTATCTGGCTTTATTTGAGAACACAAATGATACGATGAAGCAGCATTCTAAAGCTTCAGAAATCCTTGGGACTGTCTTATCTGCAGAACTTTATAAAAATATACATTGAAAATACAAATAAAAGATGAAAACCACATTAAATCTTTTGAGAGCATTTACCTTTTGCATGTCTACCTCCCTGGTGAATTCTTGCAAAGATGGATTTTTTAATCACAAAATTATGACGATGATTTATGTGCTCCCATGTAGAAGACTGAGCAACCTGCTTGTAGGAATGGTCACCAGTTTTTGAGGGAGATTCTGGGAACAGGACAATCTCCTGGACGGCATGGAGATGTTTTGCAGCCTGGAGACAAACCTCAAGCAACTGAGTGCTCTAACAAGACCGATTATTCCTTAGTAAGCAGGTGTTGAACTTGGAACATTTGTGGTGTATCAGGGTGGGAGTTGAGCCCGTGGGGAAAGAGCATGTAGGTGTCATTAAGCACACAGTCCTTGTGCGTGGGGCCCCCCATACCTGTTGTATATCATTTCAATAAAAGGCCACGGTGGAGGTTACTCAAGGTTCTCCTGCGCCTATGGGGATCCTCACCTCTTGCAAGCTTGTATTTTCAATCCATGTACTGGTTGTTTCTTGAGTGCTGTGTTGGCGTGACATAGCGGCACTGATACCGCCACCCTACCCTGTAATGTGGACTTCTTTCGAAAATCATTTAATTAATGATCTTTAAAAATTTTCATGGCACACCTAAGATCCTCTTGTGGCACACCAGTGCGCCATGGCACAGCGGTTGAAAATCACTGCTTTGACAGCAGCAACCTTGGGGTCAAGGCAGGGTGATGTGCTTCTTGGTGTCCTGAGGAGGACCCGTGTCTGGGCAGGGCAGGATTCCTAGCTCCTTTTGGAGGTTCTTCATCCTGACTCTAGTTTCTCCAGACCCAAGGGCTCTTCCTCTACAGGGTGTCCAAAAAATTGCCCTAAAATAGTCATACGTAGGAAAAATGGGAAATTGCAGCTAAATATACCTTTATTTACAAAATAATACATACAGGGGTGTCCCACCCGTGCCCCATGGGCTACATCAGGATTATATAGGACTTTTTGGCTTATTGTGGTGGCAGATATCATGAAAATTATGCACAGACCTTTTTTTTTTTTTTGCCCATCAGTTTTCATTAGTATTTGTATATTTAATGTGTGGCCCAAGACAATTCTTCCTCCAGTGCCATACCGAGAAGCCAAAAGGTTGGACACCCCTGAAAGGGACATTTAGCTACAATTTCTTCTTGTTCTTATAAATGGTAACTGTAGGGGTGACCTTCAAGACACCCTGTAGTTGAAGATTCCTCAGTCTCAGCAGTGTTCACAGTT